GTTAGACTGCTTAGAGAAGTTAATTATTGAATATGTAGTAGAATAAGTGAACCGGAGAACTGTACTTTTCAGGGCTTCATTTCCCCAATGGTATCGACAGGTCCACCATGTGCCCTATGGGATGGCGGTGCAGGAAAGGTGACTCGCACGTGGTTCAGTTTTAAGGGATAGTAGACTTGCTCTGTATGTATCTCACTCTGTGTTTCCTAATCCAACTCTACTCAGTGTCAAGATAGAGCCAACAAGACCGGAGGCGAGATTGGGGGCAGGTGGCTGGCACGACGAGCCTGCACCTACACGTACTACCAACCCCACAGCCACATTTTCGGTACTTGTTAGGGGAGTGAAATCCGAATAATGTATGCCTTGCCCTGATCGAGGAGGCACATAATGGCATAGACAAGGCAGTGAACCAGGATAACAAAAGGATGTTAACTATGCAAAAAGGTTTCCTAGTAAGGCCTTTTTTGTGCCGATAGATAACACATCCGATTTCCAAAACTTTTCTGTTATAAGGACTGCTGACAGTACAGATACTAGCGTGGTCAGTCCTAACCTGTACTCGAGACTGAATAGCTCCCAATAAGGCCGCAGACAGGATCTATTCGTAGCTTCAACTCACCCCTGCAGAACCATACATCTTCATCTGAACCATCACGACAGTCCACCTTGCCGTTGCAGAACTCTGCAGACCTGATGCACTCGCCATCCTTACATTGTGAATATCCACTTGGACAGCGATCTGTCACAGAAATGGTTATTTCCTTCCTGTCTCCGGTCATAGTAGTACACCTGCAGTTCAAGGAAGGAGAATTAAAGAGTAAGATTCTTGCGATTAGATTCCTTCATTCAGTCCTCATAGAGGTAGTACAAGGGGAGTGCTGTGGTTTTCACCTAGTCTGAGGAAGAATTAAGCAAGAGGCGGACCTTCTGGCCACCTCACATGTCCCCCACGACTGCTACGAAGTCTCGCAGCATGATGCATGTAATAAGCCAATTATTACGATGCTCAACCAACGCACGTGGAACCTGAACCTTCACCTCCGAGAGGGGCTTGAGATCGAGGAAGCTTAGGCGGTATGCGGAAAAATCAACAGGCAGTCCAGCACAAAGTTTGAGGTAGCCAAAGGATGTATGGCGTCTCCTCTATGAACACTAATCTGTAGGGCGGGGAACACCTTTTCCTACGACAAGGACAGTCAGTGGTTTCGGGCAGGTACATGATAGAGGACTTGAGTGGGGGTTAAGCAATGTTCAAATTACTCTTCAGGTCTTACGATTCCGCTTCAGCGATACGATTCCCGAAACGAATCCATCGATTCTATTAGCAGCACTGACACCACAGGAAACTCTGTCACCTGGCAAAACATTGATTTACGAGTGCTGGGCTGTCTCACCAGGTAGACCTAATGCGCATGTCATTTGCCTGTTTCGCATTTCCTGTACTGGGCACCAGAACTGCTACGTACCTTGTATGGAGCGCAAGGGATTGCCGCAGTGCCCAGCCTAGCCTGTCGCAGAAAACAGATGCAAGCCTGAAACAGTGCTACTGTTACCTATGGATTTTCAGAAAATGATCAAACAAGGTTTAAGCCAAAGTGGGTATTTCGCATAATCAGGGGGACACGAAAGTTGACCTACAAAGAGGTGGACAAGTGGAGAGATAGCAGGGACTTACGTAATGACCATATCGTCCATTCCACGAAGGCCACTGGGCGCAGTTACCTGAACCGCGCTCTCGTTGAAACGGACCAATCGGAAACGGGCATCATTTTCCACAGGGCTGCCATCACGCTGAAAAACGACACTGGCCAGGCTACCCCTAGGCGCGGTGCACGTAAACTGAAAACTCCGCCAGGGCAAAGTAGTCACGCTGCCTGGTATTATGACGATGGACGGGACGGGTAATTCTAAAAATAAGAATGAGTTGTCAAGTTAGAATAGACAACTATTGAATGTGAGCTAGGTTGAGACGGGAACTCAGGCCTCACCTCCACAGAACGAACTCAGTTCGTCCGATCCGTCGTTGCAGTCCCGATTGCCGTCACAGAAAGCATCCGAACGAATACATTGGCCATGCTGGCACTGTGACTGACCTCGTGGACAACCGCTTGTGACAGTTATTGTGATACTTTGCGAAGTCCCGTCACTGCTCACGCAACTTAAAGTAAAATAGTTAGGAGCGGAATGAGAGGAATTAAATGTAATGTAAAGGCTCTGTATCCTCTAATAAATCCACGCAGGTTTAATAGACACAGTATGAGGCGAAATGGCTTGGAAAAGTGGAAAATTCCTGTATTTTTTCACGGAGTTTCACGCAAATGCACAAAACAACTCTGAGGTTGTGTGAAGCTCGCCGATGACGCTTAGCAAGACAAAAGGTGGATGTCAGAGATTACCCCGTCTTTACAGTTACATAATTATTCATCGCTACATGACGGCCTGCAATGATTCTAGAGTGAATACCAAGGCAGACCGGTACGATTATGGCCCGTAACCTAAGCGGCGAAAGCACTTCCAAAATAATATATTTACGCATAAATAAAGAGGATGACTATCGACATAGATAAGGGAAACTAGAATAGCCATTTCTGGCCGGCCATATCCAACTTCAGGTAGGCAGCACCTGGGGCTCGAGCTCGCAATATTTTGGTCAGTAATCCAACGTTCCAACCAATGAGCCAAGGACCCGTTGCCCTGTCGGGTGCGTTTGATGTATTGACTATGATAGAGGACTTTAACCATCACGTTAAAGGACCTACTCACCCGTTGTACTTTGGTCCTCGATCCTATGTTCCACAAGGCGCAGTCAGTAGTTGAACAGTTTCCAACACACTTTGGCATGCTTAGCAGCACCATTTTCCCACATTTTTTTCTAATCACTAACCTCTATTTGTGCTATCTTTTCTTTTCATTTTGAAAAAGGAAAATCACACGTTGACAAACGGAACATGAAAATAGACCCTTAACGAAGTGAAAGCATGAGCTTACCATACCGACAATTATGGAAGAGCGCTTAACGGTAAACCTTATATAAGACAAGACGGATATATTTCGGAAATATTTCATATTTCATCTACAACCCTGATTAAACACGCTGGATATGGTCTAGGTTCGTTTGCAGACTGTTTCTCTAAGTATTTATTTTGACGTAACACGTGAAAAGGCTGTAATAGTTGTGAGAAGTTTATTGACAATCTAAATAATTTATAAGTTGAAAAGCCGCAGATGCATAAGGAGACTGAAATGACCATTTGCAATCGACAGCTAACCATAACTCGACTCTAGTCCGAGAAGGTCAGGGCCTGAATTGGGGTCCATTGAACCACGGAAACACACTCTTATGCCCTATCGGCCTTTTCAGAGTTCCAGGATAGAAGGAACAGTTAAAACCCCGGGCATTCCCTGCCTGGAGTTGGGTTGTGACTGGCTGAATCAGTCAAACGAACCAGAAACAGCCACTTTAGTCTTCCTTGCTGCCGCCAGTAATACGTCCTGGCAATTTGTCGCTCGTAGCTGTACAGTTACCTGCGAGGGCTGTGGACCGGAACTCTGGGGGTAAACGGAAATGCTATACTTTGTTCTGCAAGTAGGATGGATGTTTGAAGGCTACCGTCATCTGCTTCGTTAAATTTTCTTAGGCAAGAACCAGGAATTGTACGAAATGACATGAATCACGTATTCTGGTCTACGCACACTTTTAAGGACATAACAGATTTGGGGTGTATTAGGATTTAGTGACATAACCAACCCACTCCTTCTTTTCAATTCACACGTTCCCCGAGTAAACCAAATAACCGACTTAAATGCACTCGTCCTTGTACTTCTACGATTGTAGAATCAACTGTTTTTGCTTTACTGTTTCTGCATAATTATACACGTATGCGTGTGTGTGTGTGCGCGCGCGTTTATATGAA